AAGAGTGAAGATGTTAATAGTGGCAAAAGTTCCCTCAAGATGAAAAAGAAGAGTTTAAAACATTGACTTCATTATTCTTAATAACCATCCTTGCCACTGTTTCAGTAATTCTCACTGGCTTTTGACAACTGGGAGCTCATGCACAGCATTGTGTATTCCAGCACTTGCTCATCCAATTTTTCAGCCAAACTGAGCTGCTCAGAAGTGGGACTGTCCCAAACACGAATTGAGGCCGACATGTCATCAGAATTAGGGAACAAGTTCCTTCTACCTCCAAGCACAGCTGCACACACAGATGGCACTCCTCAGTGCCTCAGAGGTCTACCCTCCAACTCCAGGTGTGTGGACACCTTGGATGGCTCACTGCCATCCAGGCAGGGCTGAAAGCAAAGTCCTCACAGACAAGAAGACATGAGAAAGATGGACTTGCTAACCAATAAACGTGGAAAGAGTTTCCATGAACAGGGCATTTTCCTTTTTAATTATATGTGCCTTTCATCTTGCACACTGTACGCAGTTTGCTGTGCTGTGCTTTTGGGAATTTTTGCCTAAGCCTTTCTTTTCTAAACAAAGGCTTTCTGCTTTTCTTTTGCCAATAAAGGGGTACCATTAGTTCAGTGCTATTGAAGAGCTGGGCAGAAACAAACAACATGAAGCAGCAATGCAGGAGGAAGAGGGGGAAGAAAAATATTTCTTAAAAGCAAAAAAAATTGTTTGGAGGGGACACTTTCTAAGCAGGAAAGCAGCAGCTTCAAAGCAAATTTTAAAATGTATTGTGAGGACAATTTGCTGTGAAAAAATAATAATCTCACTACCCATTTTTTTAGGAAGAAACAGACAGTAATACTGCTTTCATATATGAATAACACATACTCCCACAGTAACGAACATGACTGAAGCTTCCAAGTAAATAGAAAAATCAGGAAATTCCAGAATTAATGTCATGTGGAGAGTTTGTGTGGACACATGACGAGACAATCTTTTGAGCACTAAACAACTGGCACACAGGACCATCCTTACTTAGTGAAATCAATGGATGATTCTCACTTAGTCAAAACATATTCTGAATTTTGTTTTCTCCTTATCAAGTGATGCCATTCCTCATTTCTAACTTACTGCCCAAGCCCTGCTCTGAAAACTGAGGTGCCTGTGTTTGCTATGGGCTCTCCCAGATTGCTCATCACTGCAGCCTTGACTTTTTCAAGCACTGTCAGAGCATTTATGTCTACAACAGCATTATGGGGGGAGGAGGGCTGAATCAGCTCCATTTTAGATACAACAGAAATCCATGCCAAAACCTAACTGCTAAGTTTATGTGCCTATCTGAGGATGCCTGGCTTTTTGGGGTAAAACAGCATGAGGCTGTCATACCTTTCCAAGTATGGAGGTCAACATCTGGATGGCTTTAACCATCAGATTGACCTGTCAGATTTAGCCAGCTTCCTTAAAACTTCTGGGGTTTGCTCATGAACTGCCTACAGCAAAATTTGTCTCATACAGTTTGTCTTTGCCATTGTCTCGTGCAGTTCCAGAGGGGATGGAGAAGACAGGCATGTCTCAGGGTGAGATAGCAGGTACTCTGTGAATGCCATCAGCAGATTGGCTTTGCCTGGATGTTTTTCCCTTTAAAACAGCAAAAGCCAGGCAAGGTGAAGCCAATCCCCGCTGATTTGTCCAGTGCATCCTGCAGGAAAGGACTACCAATTGTGTCCCAGCACTCCACAGCATCTCCTGGAAGCCCTCTCTGGCACCTCTCTTATATTATCTGGGTTGTGGAACTATGAAGTTAATTCTGAAAACAACACCTGAAAGTCCTGTAAGTACCTGGAGGTACATGCCCACTCTTAGCGCATGAATCTCTCCCCAGGCATTATCCTTCTGATGTCCTGAAGGCATCATTAGATTCCTGAAACCAAAGCAGCTGCATGTGGGAGGAAAATATCCACATAAAGTTAATCAGAACTCCATATGTCTGTAAAAGGTAAATAATCACAGGAGTAAATCACTGCAAGATAAGTCCTTAATTATTTAGGACTAAACAACAGTAGCTGCATTACAGATGCGAAGCAATATTTTGTTAACCACTCAGCCTGGGAACACTTACACAGTAAGATGTGATTCTGTGCAAGAAGAGGAGGCAAAATGTAGATTGTAATGCTTAGAAACATTTTTAAATCAACACGAAATAGCATTAAAAACCATGAACTAATATCAATCTAAAGAAAAAAAATGTAATTATTTTTAAGTTACTAGTAAGTATTGGCTGTTTCAGATATTTCAGAGATGCTTCTGCTAATTCTTATTTGCATTTCCTTATGTTTTTACCTTTCCTGTTGTACTGTATGAAAACTTCACTAAGCACAGAAAGAACTGACTAAAAAGCAGCAGTGAGAAGATGTCACTAATTGGTGACACAAGCAAAGTGCTCTCAAATCCACAAATCAAACTAACTGTGAGGGAAAAAAAGAGATAAAACAGAATTCTTTGATTCCTTTATTGCATAATTTGCCTTCCATAGTAGTTTAAACCTTCTTGGGATGGAGAAAAAATTAAGGGGTTTTGCTTTTGTATTTTATTTTTTTATTAATAGAACTATCTTATTTAAGGAGGAAAAGAATATACATACATACGTACATTAAAAAAAAAAGGAACTGGTATTGCATTTATGAAATTGTGCACCAGATTCTCAGCTGGTGCAAAACAGAAGTACTTTCCTCACTTAGGGGATCTAATTCCAATCTCCATCAGCTGAGGATACGATCTGAAGTGCTTTCTTCTTACAAAAATATATTCAGACTCACCTTAATTTAGACACAAAGTGTACCAGATTGAAACTGGCTTGAAGTCGCATATTTCAAAGCAGTTTTCAACCTCTTTCTATATTTTATCCGATATCCTCTTTTCTGGTCAGAAATAGCAGAAGATGTAAACACTGACAGAATCATAGAATCATTTGGGTTGGAAAAGACCTTCACTACAGTTGCTGGATCTGCTCTACCTTCCAGGCCTACTTACAGACTTTGATGTGCACTTCATTAAAGCACAGAATGCTTGTATAGCACAGTGACATGAAATTGTTTGAAGTCTCTTGGGGACATCTACCCATCCTCTCCATGATCCAGGTGTGCCTAAGCCAACCCAGCTTGTTTATATTGCAGGGACAAATGCCTTAACTTCCATGCCCATGGCCAGAGTGGCATTTCACCTTTGTGCAGAGGGATACCAGGTTTTAGGGCAATATTCCAGGTTTTAACTCTTCACCTGTGAATGCTAAGAATTCTAAGAACTGCCTTGGAGAGTGCTGTGGGAGCACGTGTCTGTTCCTGCTGCCCCTCTGTCGAGAGCTGCTGTATCTGAGCGCATAGAGGGCACTTTCTCCACTGAAAACAAAGCCTAAAATTACAAACTGAGCAGAGCTGAGCACAGCAAAGTCAGTTAGGGAAGGAGCTCCAGGGGAACTTGTGCTAAGCAGCTTAGGTGCCTTCTGAAAATCCCACACCTTTACATTTCATCCTCACGCAAAAACACAGAGCCATCAGCCACATGTTCTTTACTCAGGAAGAACAATCTCTAGCAATGGCAGTATCTAGGTAATAAAATCTATATTCATAATGTGAGAAAGTCTTCAACAGCAATGTTTGTGTTTGGTAGTATGGGATATTTTTTTGTCACAACTCCCTTTTTGTTTTAATTGTGAACATTAGTATTGTGTTCTGTTTTCTTTTTAAATTTCCAGTTGAAACTACAGTTATTGTATGTGTGAAAATTGCAGCTCACAGTTCCACAGACATTTTCCCTACTGACTTTCAGATCTAATCCAGCTCAAGCTATTCTCTCCCAGCCTAGTCCCAACTCTTGTGCTGCCTTGGAAATTCAAGCTTTCTGTCAGTATTTTCCATCAATACAGCATCCTGCACACTCCCAAATCTACTTGAAGAAGCTTACTAGCCTACCCTTTCCTACTCTTGGAAATGCCAAAGCAACTCTGTATCCTAAGACCAACTCAATGTTCCTAAAACAGAAACACCTACTGTAGAAGAAATAGTCAGTAAGCTCATGCAGGATTTCTGCCTGCAGCTGCACTTCCACCACTGTGTTTCAGTAGTCACATATTTGCTGACACTTCAAAGAAGTTTATCTGTAATGCTGCCGCTTGCAACCGGTCCAATTATCTCTGCTCATCCAACAATTAAACACACAGCCTCTTATACCCAAGCACACAAGATGAACATCCAGGGGATACAAACACAGCAAGATCTTACTCAGGAGTCCTACACAGATGAGTGGTCAGAATGCAGCCCCCTGGTGCACGGACAGGGACTAAAACCACAGCTGATCCTGACTGCTGGGGCTCCAACAGGACAACCAGCACGCAGCTATGAGACAGGTATTTCTCAACAACTTATCAAGAAAATATATCAAGTAGACTTGATACAGACATGATCCTACCACTTAACAAGGCAAGAGAAACCCAATCTCTCTTGACCACCTTCAGCTCTAGGGTGAGTGCCGTGGCTGCCATGAGCTAGGACTTTACAGCAAGATCTAACTGAATCAAAAATGCAATTTATAGGGCTTTGAAAGATGAACAAGTTTGAACTCAACCAGCATATGGCATGTATTAGATGAAGAAATGGGTATGAACTGCAAAGCTGGCTTCCAAGAGCCCACAGTTACTCTTTGTGATCCTTGGAATTTCACAGCCACTTTGGGGCTCAGAGTGTCAAAACAATCTGCCAGCGAAGCCTAGGATACACCCAAGGAGACACTGAGAGGGAAATGTGATAGCATCAGCGGAGGAGCTCAGTTACACAAAAGGAGAGGTGTGGCTGAACCACAACTTTTCTGATTCACATCAAGGCTTTCCCAAAGTTGAGAGCTGCACTCTCTGAAGAGGACGGTACAGACCCAGAGCTACCCTTTATTTTCACTACCTGCTGCACTGGGACGGTAGTGATAAAGGAAGGAAGAAGTGTGAGGAGAAGCCAAGGTGGGCTCACCAGAGTGTGTCCTGAGGTGTCCTGTGAGGGCGTCCCTCCGCCGGCAGGCGTAGCTACAGAAGGGACATTTGAACGGTTTCTCCCCAGAGTGCAACTTGATGTGCCTCAGCAGGTTCCCCTTCTGGGTAAAAGAAGCTCCACATTGGTTACAGTGGAAGGGGCGTTCACCTGGAAGGGAAGGGGAAGGGAGAGAGCTGTCAACACACATCGGAGGATGCACAGAGGCCACTTTCCCACTCTGTACCAGTGCCATTGCACATGGGTACAGTCCCCACCACCACCATCACACGGCACTTCTAAAGTCAGAGGCCGTTTCTTTTGCACAATGGGCAAAGCCTCCAATAGTGATTTGAGGCTCTTTCCTTGAGGTGATCAATGCTTCCTGGTTTTCTTGAAAGTTCTTCACCTCAGAGCTTCTATTCTTTATAAAAGATGAGCTCTGCTGAAAATTTGGATCCATAGTTGTGGTTTTGCAGTATTTACTTCTATGGTTTTGCACTTATTTTTAGTATAGGTCCAATCCATACGAGTATTCAGAAGTGATCATAGCAATTGGACCTTAGCAAAGGTGTTAAGGTCTTTGGTTCAAACCAAAGCTTTTGTTTGCATTACAGTTTAACTGAAAAAAGCCTTTTTAAAGGCTTCTTTGCATTGCTAGAGTGACTTGGAGGGCATGGATGCGAGTGAGGATCAGGGTTGCAAGCTCTGGGCAGTACTGAAAGTTGAGAAAAATCTTACACCATTAAACTGTGAAACAAGCAAATTTGCACTCTACATAAAAAAAAAATTAAAAAGATTGATTTGATGAAAAACTAACAGAAACCCTAGACCTTACCCTATCACTTCATCCCATGTGTTCACACACACACACACACATGCACATCCAGAGCTTATTTTTATGTTAAGCCTTCGTATTTGCCTTAGACAGTGGGGATCGGGTCCATTAAAAAAACCCCACCTTTTTTTAAAAAAACTTATTATTCAGAGGAAAACCCCTGATGAACACACACAGGCTTTCTGGAACATTATCAAAACCAATACTCTATATCAACATTTGTTGAGGACAGCCAGACTGTTCCAGCAGTCTTGTGCAGGCAGTCAGCTCTAGTCACCTGCTTATGTCCTGCTGAGTAAATCAACTGAACACAAGCTTATACTTGTGCTAGCCACTTGTCTGAGCTCTTTACTGCAGCTGGACTTTAGATCACAGAATTCCAGAACAGTTTGGGTTGGAAGGGACCTTAAAGCCCATCCAGCTCCACCCCCTGCCATGGGCAGGGACACCTTCCACCATCCCAGGCTGCTCCAAATCCCATCCAACCTGACCTTGAACACTTTCAGGGATGGGACAGCCACAACTTCTCTGGGCAACCTGTGTCAGAGCCTCACGTCTGAAGAAATAGGGAGGAACTTCTTTCATATATACCTCATTTGAATCTACCCTTTTCCAATTTAAAGCATTACCCAGTGTTTAAACCAAGTAGGGCCCCAGATCAACAAGGTCTTGATCATCAGATTTCAGATGTAAGTGACCTCATCCACGTTTTTCCATGTATCACCTATTATGGAATTTTGGCCAAATCCTGCTGGGACCTTCTGAGTTTGAATTCAGTGGCCTGAAGCACAGATATTGTGCAAAACAAACACATTTTGTGATCTTTCTCATCTCTCTAAAGTCTTTTACAATTGCTTTGGAACAATTACTCCATCGCTGGACAAAATGAATGCTACATTTGTATCAAAGTAGTTAATGTGTCTGTCTAGGGTGAAGCACAAAACACATCTGGAGCTTCAAATAGAAGGAGAAGGAGGGAGAGAGCTCTTACAGATGTCCACAAGCAATTCTTGTGTCAGTGGTTCAAATCACTGCCAGGACTACAATGCTGCCAGGAGGGCAGCACAAGGTGTGCCATGCGTATGCCATACTCTGCAACTTTATTTCACACATGGGAGATGGAAATCACATCTGAGACTGCCACAGAGGTACTCAACGAGATACTAAGGTTTCTACAATCTCACCATGAACATTATGGAGTAATAATAATAAAAAAAATCACAGCATAAAGCTCTTCTTCCAATACACTGAACATGAGCTCATTAGAATTGATAAAGAGTTTGTGGTTTCCCTTTCAAACTCCCACACTATACTTAAATTATCTGATTAGCCATTATCTTCTTTTACATCATTTAAAAATGTCCATAACAGAGATATGTAAAGAGACTGCAGTAGAAAAATACATGGGTTTGATTTTTTTTCTTTTCTGTTTTGCTTTTGCTGTCTGAGAAAACAGGCAAAACCCTTTCCTTTGACACGTTTCTGAGTATTCTGGAATGATAGCTTCAGTTTCAGGATGACAACATGAAAGAAGGTAGCATGTTTCTTACCAAGTCTGAAGTCTTTCCTTTTACTCCTGCTGTATCTAAAATTATGCAGTTACTGCATTTTACCCACTACATCATCCACTTATCTCTGACATTTTGGAGGCCACATATGAGCAGGTATTACTCCTCCAAAAACTGGCTGCTCTAGAGATGCTGAAAGCTTTCAGTCAGGAATTCAAATAGTCACTGCACCACAGTTTGATGGCAAAGATGACATGAAAACACTCACCACAAAATCACCCGTAGTCTGCTCCTCTCTTGCAACAGACAGAATCTGCTCCAATAGCACACTTTACCTTAAATAACCTCTGTACCTATTTAAAGCCAGCCTGAATTCACTTCTCCTATTGGCTTCATTCCGGGTAAATAGCTGCTTTGATGTGTTTGTTATACTTTTGTCCAATCACTCGATTCCAGCTCCTTGTTTAAGCCTTAGGCTTGAGGGATGCAATTTTGGTCACACCTTCGTGCTATTGATTAGCAGCTTTTACATTTAGCACAGCTAATCTGAGAGGCCATTATCCAATAGAAGGGTGCACAAAGAGAAGTAATGACTGCATAGCAAGAAGATTCTGTTGGTTTTCCAAGAACTGTGCTGTCTGATGCCCACTCCAGATTCTAGCAAATAAGCCTTTTTTATCACTTCAATGCCTTGAGAAGACTGTGTTCCAATTATTTCTCCTGCTGCCTTTTCCTGGTAGTTTTGTAAACTGTTCTCTAGAATTATTACTTCCCAGGAACAAAATAACAACCTTGACATCCTTATTCACCTCCCTCACTTTTCTGTGAAAACTCAGAGGTTTTATCCATAAGCTGAAATCAATCATACTTCAAACTAAACATCCACTCACAAGAAGTCTTTAAACACAGCTTTTCTCAACATGATGGTCCCTGACTGTGTTTGAAGTGTTTTTGGGGGTGATGGCAACACAGACACATCCAGAACTATGGACCTATTAAAGGTAGCACACACGACTCCAAGAGAGTAATGACAATTATAAGCATGGTGTGCTCCCCCACCACTTACAGCTATGTATTTCCTGCTTGATTCTGTGTACTTACACTGGTTTAATAAAATAAGAACTCTGCTGAAAGGCAACTAAGCAAGATTTGTGTTTTTCAACACTGGAAACTATGTGACTGCAATGTAACTGCAAAATACTTTTAGTCTACTTTAAGTGTTGAACCTCTTCTCCATTACTGAGCTGAACCAGGGCAGAAAACCCCCCAGCTCAGTGACTTTCACAGTGGCAAGAGGAAAGAGGAGGAGGGAGAGCCAACCAAACAAAAAAGATGTTTCTTTTCAACTCCAGATTTAGAGTCTAAAGCCAGACAAAGCCAGGAATGCCTAAAACCCCTTGCTCCCCAGCAGAGGGAATTTAATTATCTAAGTTACTTCAGGAATGGACAAGGCAAGGTAAACCAGAGCTGCCAAGTATTATCTTTCCTAAAGGCTTTGTAAGAGGGGCTTGTGCCAGGGTATAATTAAATTAATAAATAAATACATCCACAGAGTTTCACCATTTTACAGTTAAATAAAATATTAATTAAAAGGTATGATTTCAGCATTTACCTCTAAATTACCGTAAAATACTGCCGAAACCTCACAGTTCATTAACACACATCCATTATTGCTATGTCTCGTCCAAGAAAAAGAATAATGAACAATAGTAATGAATTATTACTGCTCTTGAGTTACAGGAAAATCTGAAGTACACAGGTTAACTTGCTCTTGTGTAAACAAATCCTGAGACAAATGGTGAAGTGGACCCCTGAAGACAGGACAGGCAAGACATCAGCCTTTCTTTCACAGTATCTTTATTTACTACATGACAGCTGGATGGAGACTGCACTGCACGAGCTACAAGTGCTGGCTGGTTGCTACAACCTGAAACCAGGCGAATGAACCAATGAACTTCCTACTAATAGATTTCACAGATGTCAAATGTTGTTTCAAAAAGCAAACCAACTCCTTTTTCTGCTTAATTGGAAGCTCCCCTGCACAACAGCACTCCTTTCCTGCCTCAGCACAGAAGTGCTGTGCAGAAGTTTCAGTATGAGTTAACCTTCTTCGAATCTCAAACCAGTGCAAAACAGTGATATTTTCGCTGCAAAGCTGAGATATTTTCTGTATTAAAACAGAATTTTGTCTGAGGATGTGGAGCCCACAGACCTGGCAGCCAAGGAGACTTAGATTTTCCTAGCTCTTGGCTGGTAACATTTGTCCCTTTGAAATCAAAAGGGGAGTGACTCACAAATTAATGCACTGGTTCTCAATAACACAGTCAGGGTATTCCTAAATCAGCAGTCCTTCTGCATTAAAACCAGGTCCAGAGGGACTTCAACATCTCTCCTGGTTAAATGTGTATCTGGGAACTCAACCTTTCTTGTATGGCAGATATTTTTGATATGCAAAGTATAGCTTAAGTTCTCAAACGGGATTTTTTCTTTCCAGCCTCTTAACACAAAATTACTGTGCCCATGCTGCCATCAGAAACTATTTGCTCTTACTAATAATACCGATTTTCAGCCTTCCACAATGGGCTTTCTGTCAATATTCATTTTGTTAAAATGAAACATTTCTCCTGATTCATCAGATGCTGCAACTGCTGTGATTCTGCTCTGTGCTAGGAACACAAGAGATCTATCAGTGATGCTCTCAACACAGTGACAGCGGTGAGCTCCAGCCTGCGTTTACCCAAATGAGACACAGAGCAGCAGACTTTGCTCCATTTCTCTGCTATTCCAGGGACCAGAACTAGTCTGCACATATATATATATATAACTAGTATATAACTATATATATATATATATATAACTAGTCTCCTTACTGTTCTATCTGATTCACTCCACAGCCTGCACATCACATCAAATCAGTAACTTTAGTAGGGATTTTTGTTGGAAAAAACCTGCTTCCAGACAGGGCAATTTGTTATAAAACAGTAGTGACAAATCTCCCATGAAAAATTCCTGGGAAATCCGGGGTGATTTCCAATTGTCCTCTGCACAAATTTATGACTGCATTCTTAAGACAGAGAAATCTTTTAAGTGAACTTGGCAAAACTATCAGAAGACTTTAGTTATTGAGTACTGCAAGTAAAACACATCCTTCTGCCCAGAGCAATTTCAAAAATCTCATCTCCCCTTCCTTATGCTTAAGTAGGAAAAGAGATGACTTTTCAGAAAGTTAGACTTCAGAATCTAAGTAGAAAACTGGACTTTCAGAAATTTAGCCCTAAAATTTTTGATTCAGTGCCAAATCTATTAACATTGCAAGAGAAAGGAAGGCTGAACTAGATTACAAATCAGAAATTAAACCAAAAAAACCCTTTCTGCCAGCAAAATGAGAGAGGCAGTCCAGTGGAGTTCATCAAAATTTGTTTATATAACAATTGGTTTAAATTTGCTCCTTGTTTGCTGCTTAGGCATACAAGTCTTTTATATGGAACCATACAACTGGGTTTTTCCTCTTTTATTACTTCTGTCCTAAAAACTTGAACTCTGCATGTAAAAAAAGTTGAATTTCATTCAAAGTTCCAGAGCTGCATATGTTCAGTTGTAACGCTATGGGTGTTAAAGCAGAGGTCGAACATCTCCCTCCTGGGCACGTAACTCATTTCACTGACTTATGGTATCAAAATGCTTGTGGAGTCCAAGTAGAGATCTGACACCATCCTGCAGTTAGCACCCCAAAAAAGGCCTAAAAGTACCATTCCAGCAACCCAAATAAGAGTGGGGCAAGGCTGACATCCCCACTGCCTCTGCCCAGGCTGTGCTTTGCCACTGTGCTGCTGCTGCATCCACACAGAGAAAGCATTTAACCTCTGTGTTTTTTAAAGCAATGAGGATGAGAATCTGTGGAAGCCCAGTCCCCAGAGGTGTCCAAGGCCAGAGTGGACAGGGCTTGGAGCAGCCAGGGCTCATGGAAGGTGCCCCTGTCCACGGCAGGGGGTGGAACAGGATGAGTGTTAAGGTCCCATTCCACCCAAACCATTCCATGGTTCTATGATGCCAACCTTCCCTGGGAAATAAAAAGCATTTCAAAATCTAGCAGTAAACTAGATAAGGGACTGGATTTTACAGCAGAGAAAAAAAAAATAAAAGAAAGGTCACAATTCACAGCAAAAGGGAGAACAACACAAGGACCTTGCAGAGCACAGAGGTATCAGCATAGCTATAGCAGAATACGGTTCCTGCTTTACCAGAAACAAGGAACAAGGAAATTTTAATTCAGACCCACAGCAGAAAGCATGAAGAAGTGAGAAATCACTGAGGTTCCTTCTCATGATCTCAGAAAACCTGGATTATTTGCCTCTTCTCCTTCCCCCCTTCCCTCTACATCCCTAAGCACAAATCCCTGGAGTATCCCATGGCAATATTCTATGACCAAGCCATCTCCTGCAGTAACAAAAAACTGATAGAGATCCTGCAACTTGAGGAATGTGCTGTGGAGTATAAAATTTGGACCAAAATAACACAGTATGGGAAAAGTGGAAAATAAATCCAGCTCATGCTGTTTTTCTGACACAAGGATGTGGCACATGAGGGAGGGGGCTGCCCTGCTCACTAATGCAGGGATTGCATCATGCTTAATTCCCACACCAAGCACATTATTTATTTTCTGTCAGCAATGACAAATAAACAGAAAGGCCTTCTCCTGGTACCCAGGCAGATTACAAGAACACTTCACCTGAATTAGCAGTTTTTCAGAGAAACGCTGTGTTTGGCACAATCAGCAGTGCCACGGGCCCTGTGATGGAAGGGCCGCAGACCAGAGCATCACTTGGACCATGATCTGAGGAATGAATGGAAAATCCCCAGCTTGATCTATCACAGGAAGGGGTGACTGCACACCAGGATCAGAGATGGGACACTGAGTTCACCTACTCTGGCCTCATCCATGACACAGGTCATTTTCCCCATTTCTGTATCTGTTTGACTCCCGTCATGCAGCAGGGAAGACAACTGCTCATCAGGAACAGAGGAATAATGTCTGGAGAAATTCCTCTCTCTGTGCCTAGCACAGGCAGAGCCCACAGCACAGCTTCTTGCCAAGTCTCGGTCCCCTGTGCAAGGAAAGCTGTGCTCATCCCAGCACGCACACAAATTACAGCCTCTGCTAGGGACCACAGCATTTTGGGTGATTTACATAAAATGCTGACAGGTTTTCGGGGAAGGGAAGATCACTTCAGTTTTTGCCAATGCAAACAACTGGCCAGATCATGCTTTGGTTGTGTATAGTTACAGAGGAAAGTAAAGCAGGATTCAGCTTCCAAAACATACTTAAACTGGGTTTGAGAGGTAGGGATGTACATGCCAGTTGGATTAGCTGATAAAGAATGTCATCTGTTTCCACTCACTGGGGACAACCTCCCTTCTCTCCACCATTCTCCCTTGGGCTGCAAAACCAGACTACCCACAGGTCAGGGCTCATTCCAGAGCTGGGGCCAGCCCATCACGCCCCACTGCTGAGGAAGTGGCAATATATTTTAAAATACTGCACTTTACAAGATAGATACCAATATGTTAAAAATACACCTTAAAATCCAGGATGTGGAAATCCAAGCAAACTTCTCCTTCTGTTGTGGACAGCAAAGTAGCAGCACATATTAAAAAACAAACAAACAAAGTGGAGAGAGAAAAAAAATCCTCTGCAAAATTTGCCAACCAGTTTACTGAGAACAGAACACCGAGCTGCACATTAAAAGAAATGCCATTTCTATATGCTTGAAATCATCTGTATAGAACAGTACATCCCAGCTCCTCTGCTCTGATGGGAAAAGAGTCAGGGCTCTCCGAGGAGCCCGAAGGAAAAAGCTACCAGTTATGCAATTGCTGCCCATGCACCCACAGACGGCCATCTCGCCTGCACGCAGAGGAGATTTTGTTTCTTTCGCTTTGAATTTACCATCTTCTTTAACATGAAAAAGACAGCTCGCCTGTATTTAAAAGATGCACCAGCTATTCAGTATCTCAGAAATGCAGACCATTTAATTAAGTACCTAAATCTAAATTTAGCACAGCTAGTTTAGCTGCTCAAGTTCAAATCCATGGACTTTGATGCACCTACAATACATATGCTCAGATACATGCAAGCACCAGTGAAAACTTTTCGGCAGGATGAAAGCTGGTGACTCAGTCTGGTACATTCTTATTTCTCCTTCCCTCTTCTAGTAACAGCACGTCAAATTGTTAATCAAGGTTTTGGTTCTCCAGCTAATGCTTTTCCCCTCTCGTAATTCCTGTCTAAAATCATGAGTGCATCATAAACGATACTGCCATGCTTTGCATTACACACTTAGGTCAAGTTTTTATCAATACAACCCATATACAGGAGATTAACTAGGTAATATATATTTATTATTTCTCTGTACAGAAATTCTATTGATTTCTTCCCCATCAAGAGCACACTACTGGACTGCAAACTACCAGGTTTACAAAGGGATTACACAGTCTTTCTTATTCTAAAATTCCACCTTTCTTCTTCTATCTTCACAGATCTCAGCCAGTCTGAGTCTCTCACCCCATTAAATAATAGCAAAGATACAAAGCAAAATATCCAAAAAATACAAAGAACAAACATCCGCTGAAGCTCCACCACAAAAACCTGTGCTTAACCTTAATAAGATTTAAATGTGCATCCAAAGTTAAGCGTATCTTGAAGCCCTTCAGGTGACTTACACGTGCTTAAATCTCATAAAAGTTAAGCACAAGCTTAAGTGCTTTTTTGAATCAAAGGTAGACCGCTGCAAGACCAGAGAGCATCATCTTCTGGCACCACCTGTATTTCTGTTGGAGGTGACTATTGCTCCCACCTGAGTGGGCAGCACAGGGGAGTGAGTACCAGCTTCCTGGGCACACCATGTTACCATATTAGCCATAAGTCCCCTGAAATACCTGAGTTTAAGCTCAAGGCCTCATTTTTCAAACCACAAAGACCCGCCCAATCAGCATATTGCAGAGGTTCCTTTTGCCTCTTAAATTCTCAAACCCACAAGCCTGATAAGCTGTTTGAGACTCCAAATGGTAATAAAAAAACAAGTGCTGGGAGAGACCAAGCACTGATAGCTGCCTCCAGAATGGTATTGAGAAGGTATGGGGGAGCCAAATGGGTGGTTCAGCTGAGGTCTCCCTGAGGGAGCTGTCACACACGGAGCAGCAAGACCACCCTTGCATCAGGATCCTTGGGTAATGAGTGTCCCTTCCAGGGTTTGCTCATCCCAGGCCCAGCCACTTCCAAAAGAAGTGTGAGATCCCCAGGAAGCTGCTGGTCTTGTCCACCTGTGAGCACCTCCAATGAAAGAACATCTAAGACTCCTCTTAAAGGCTCAAAAGCTTTGCACTGCACACACACAAACAACACGACCCACCCGCCCCCATGCCAGAGAATGACTGCCACCATGTTGCTCCAGTCAAGAATGTTAAGAAGAGCAATTTCCAGACTTCTGCATTGTTTTTAAGAACAAAAGGCTGGAAATCAGAGTAAAGGAAGCACCATGTTTACCAGCAAGAGAGCATTGCCAGAATTTGGAAAGCAGGAAAAGAAACAAAACCAATGAAGCCCATTTTCTCCCTCCCCAGCCTCCTGCTACCCCAAGAATGAAAAGGGAAGAGAGAAGAGTTGTCAGGTAACATCAACATCGCCACAGATTTTCTTTCAGCTGCTTACCAGTGTGGCTCCTTTTATGTACCATTAGCACATTGGGCCCAATGCAAACCATGCCACAGACGTCACATTTCAGTTTACCATTCGGAAGCCGGATTCCTCCCTCGCTTGATAGCTCCTGGATCTTTCTGTTATCCACCATCTCGTTGCTCCCAATGAAGGGATCTTCCAGGCTGCTTCCTCCATCGTGAGCTCTGATAATATCTTCATGGATCAGAGGCTTCCTGTCAAATTCCTCATCACTTTGCATTTCTAGCTTTACTGAATTTGCTGAAATAAAAAAAAAAAAAAATTTAAAGTTAAACCCATGTATTTTCTAAGTTCCCAGCTATTAATACTGTGATAAACTTTTTACTGGTATCAATGTTAAATCACAGCCCAAGCTCAAAACATCACGAGAGTCTCATGGTGGTCATGGCATCACATGTTATACCTGCTTATTTCTTTAATTTTGTTTTTTCAATTTCTTCTTTCTATCCCTATTTCAAAGCTTAAGAACTCAGGTACAGTGTGACCCAGACACCTGCCAAAAGTTGCAGAGATGCAGCAGGATTAAGAACTGACCTCCTGCTTCTCAACTTGAACCACGAGAGCTGCCTTCATGTCAAGGATCCAAAGCTACAGGAGCAAAGGCCAAAGCCAGAGCTGCTCTTTCCAGGCCTCTCCTGCCCAGTGCTCCGAGAGGCAAGGTTCCCAAAGGCACAGCACAAGGAAACAAAGCAGGATTGTTCCAAACGGAAAGATCTAGTGAAGCCAGGCTTGTGGGCTGTGCCAGTAATCTCCAAATCACCCTGCCTGCACAGACAGGTTCCCTGATGGAGGGGAGACCAGCCTCTGGATGAGCCTCCAGTGCTTTTCTGCTCCCACCTTCTGATTCACGTCAATGGGACACTGCCAAGGCAAACAGGGCTGCAGTGAGAGCTACACTGCTGGATTATTTATATTTGCAAGCAAAATACGTGCAGTTGAAGACCTTTCACATCTGCCTGGGGAGACTGGCAGGCTCACTGCTGATTTCTGTGATCCTCAGGTGACAGGATAAACCTCCTCTAACCATTGAGAGCCTGTGGGATCAGCAAGCCTTTAAAGGAAACAAATGCACTGGGCTTTTTCACAAAGGGGTGTCAGTGCAGGGGTGTTTTAATCATTAAATAACCCCCTTTTCAATGCCTCAAGAGTTGGTCAAACCTGCCGAAAGGCCCATCCCAGAGTCAGAGCCCCCATCCACAGTGTCAGCCAGAAGGCAAGCCCACGTGTCTGCTTCCCTAAGCCTTGATCCTGCTGAGGGGTTTAACAAGGAGGTGATTCAGCCTTCACATCTAAGAAGTCTTTGACCTCTGTACTAAGGCCACTGGCAAGAAGAGCGCCAGTGACAGCAGTGGACCTGGAGCACAAATCTGTGCCCTGGGCCTGTTTGGTGTCACCAAACTCTGGCCACATGTGCTCCTTGGCAACTGTCAAGGGGTCCCCATCCAGGAGCCAAACAACAGAAATATAAGTAAACACTGTGAAGCATCACAGTTTCAAACAGCTGGCCTGGAAATGTCAGAAGAAAAAACCCTACTATTTAGTGTTCCTCCTTCATCTTCCTTTCTTCCCCTTCCCAGAAAACACAGAGTTCAGAGACTGATGTTGACATTGCAACTCTAAATCACTACTGCTACTACAGGGAAAGCATAATGAACAGGGTAAAGGAACCAGAGACCAAGCAACGGTAAGATGTTTCTTTTTAATCATAAAACTGTTGAAACAACTTTCACTACTCATCAAGGCACTAATGGGAGCTAAGAAATGAAAAGAAAGTACTATTATAACAAAGCCCATCCAGAGCAAGGACACTGCTGCATCAGATCACTGCAGACCAGTATCAGCACAGGCACTGCCATCCAAATGGTCTGTAACTACAAAGTATTTGAGTGCATCGCTTATGGAAGGGAATTAATATTTTTGTTGCCACAGAGATGCATTTATTGTTCTTAAAAGAGTAAAAAGCAGCCCAGACTGAGAGGTCAACTAGGACATGGCCTCAGGCAGTGCCCTGGGGGAGAAACAGGTCAAGACGAGGCAGTTTGCATGGGGAGCAGGAGGGGCCTGGCCCCATCACGGCAGCAAGAGAAGCCATGGGAAGCCATCCTGCCCTGGTGCCAAGCCCGAGTGGCACAGCCAACAGCCTCCTGACCGGGAGGATCTACCCTCGTGCAGGGACTGGGCAGAAAGGAGGAAGAGCAGGAGCTCTGGCAGCTCCATGGGCTGTCAGGGAGAGAGCTGAGGTCCCAGACCCACCTCCCCATGGAAAGCACACACTGGTGATTTATGGACAGCCCACTTTCACAGCAAAGGAATGGCAGTTCCCTCTAATAATAGCAGCCTTTCGGGGTATTCAGCAAGTCTGAGAATGAAGCCCAAAGAAACGGTTCGCTGGCTTTAGGAGCAGGAATACACTCGGCCACACAAGTAGCTACAGCAGAGCCAGAAATAGTGCTCCTCACCTAAAACCCCAGGTTGCTGCCACAAGCCTGCGTGCTGTCCTGGTACAGTACTGCACAAAATATCCAAAAAGCCACATCCCAACTGTGCATATTTACATGTACTCACAAGAAAAAGTATTGGATCTTAAGTGTCTTCTTACAGATATTAATTTTTGTCTGTTTCTCTGATTTGGAATAATAAACCCTCGAGTGCAGTTAGTGCTGAGCACCACGACTTCCTATTCACAGCTGTGGAGCTCTGTCTGCTCAGCACACATGCCAACAAGGCTCTGAGAGCTTACAAATGGGAAGACCACTTACTTTATCTTCCTTCCCCTAGCACTTCTTTCTGCTGAATGACGCTTTCATACAACAGGATAAGCAGCACAACCAGGCGGTGCAAGCCGTTTGCTGAAGCACAGCCTCCCCACACACACACAGAGCTCACAAAGCCCAAGGAATTCACGCTGCATTCTTCAAAACATCCCAGCTATTCTATGAGCTGTGCAGGCTGGTTGCTGTTCCTCCTTCCCTCACCTTCATGCACACTGCCATTTGCAGAAACACTCTGGTAGCTGTGGAAAGGCTTCCTCCAGCTGGGACCAGCCGTGGGTCTCCAAGGAGGGGAGCAGGGATCTCCCCAGCTCATTGCAAGGGCTTTGCTAATCAGGTCATCTCCTCTGCCTTACATCATACAGGTGTATATATTAGGCTGTGTGGTAGCTTGCATACAAACAGGCACTTAGATTGCATATAGTTTGTTTTCTCTGCTCTCAGCCAGCCTCGGAAGCTGCAATCATTTAGTAGTGGCACTGTCTTTGTTTTCACCTACAGCACTGAGGGAGCACAATGAACTCTGCTGCAAAGGAAAAAGAAATGTTCAAGGGATGTTGATGGCTATCTTGCATCATACACAAGGCTCCACATCAAATTTCACCCTCTGTTCCCTTGCCTTTCTTGTTTGCATGCTTGATAAAAGCATAAGTAAGTAAATGGATTTTGTTGGTTTTTTTTAAAGTTTTTGGGACATTCCATAAAAAAAGAAAAAGACAGCAAAAGAGATAGCAGGGATAAAACTGTAATCCAGCTCACTGCAAAAGGATGAACTTGAAGTCAAACCATTTCCCTCCAGTTAATATGTGTTCCTTCTACTTTTTCCAGTCTGGCAAAACACCTTGTGGGGAAAAACATAAGACAAGCACCACAAAAGCTTCTACCTGGGAATACAAAGCTAACGGCACATATTCGTCAGTCCACACATTAGTGTTGCTTTCTTTTTCGTTTTTCTTTTTTGTGAGGGGTTTGGTGGGTTGGTTTTTTTTGTTTTGTTTTTGTTGTTGTTGTTGTTGTTTTGGTTTTTTTGTTGATGTTGTTTTTTTTCTGTGGATTTTTTTGGCTTTTTTTGTTCAGCACACAAATCAGCTGATCCTGAATCACACTTTATCCAGAGTGGCCAAACTGAATACAATTACTGTTAATGTCTCATAAGTGCCAATTAAACTCCAATTCCCTCTTAAACAGTTTCTTGGGAACTTTTCAGTACAAAAATATTTCCTCCACCCACAAATTAGTGTGGCTACAAACCAGAAGTTGGAAGGTCCACCTGAAAAAAACCATTCCTGGTATTTCATTCTCTGTCATGGAAATTTTTCTCTCAAAAGTGAGATCTAGGGGGGAAAAAACCCTTCTGTCTTGCTGAGAGATTTGATCCCCAGGTGGAGCATAAATTAAAGTACTGGACATCTTCTTAAGCAAGGAAAAAGAGTGCAATTCCCACTAAGAAGCAAAATTCAGCATCAACATCAAAATTCATCCAACACACCAGGGAGAAGGCAGCAGGACTGTACCCCTCTGTCTCCCCCACTGTCTGCTGTCCTAGGTCAATGCTTATTTTATCTGTGGCCTTGGAAAGCCAGGCTGGCCGCTGTCAGTGAGGGTTTGTGGTCTCCAGCTGGAGGTTGGCCTTTCCTGGCAGCAGCCATGCACCACCAGCCCCTTCCTGCTGCCCCCGGAGCAGCAGCACATCAAGCCAGACCCCTCAAGGCCTCCCACGCCTCTTCCCCATCGTCCTTTCTCTCACCAGCAGGAAATAAAGCTTTGGCCCAGCTTCAGATATTCATCCTTGGGGAGGCAAAATTCAAACCTGCCGCCCCCGAGGAGCCTTGGATGGCTCCGTGGGCGAGCACCGGGAAGGACATTAACACACACAATGTGTTCTCTAACCACATGGAAGCGGCCAGAGAGTGGGTGCCAGGTGGGGCACCAGCAATTCCAGGGTCTGCTCCAGGTTCCCTGTCCAGAACACAACAAAAAGCAGCATTCAAAGCCTGGATGATGCGTCTGTCTTTATATCCAGATGCAAAGAAATTATGAAATTGTTACTTCCTTCTGGAAAATGAGGCTGAGCCCTAAGTACAGCAGCACAATGACAGGCAGCTACAGCACAGCCTTGTGCCTATTGTCCTGTCAGTGGTCAGTGACACTGTCTATTTTAATCATGCTCTTCTCCTAGGCAGTGGATTAATGACATTGCTAATTGGCACCTACAGACAAATAGAAACTGACCCAGTTTCTAGCAGGTTTTGAACCCAATTCTTACACATCACAAACCTTGGAGTTGGTGTCCCTATACTATTGAACTCCCTGTTTCTACACTATCAAAAGCACTCAGCGAGGGCGAGTGTAATACAGTTAGTTTTAAGAACCGGAATGGCAAACCGATGAGTGTTTTGTAAGATGAAAATTAAAGGAGGAGGGGGGGAACCCTTCTGTCTTGATGGATTTTGAATGTTCAAGGTAAGG